AGAGCGAGCCTCGCTTCACGGAGTCCATCGTAGCAACTCGTAGCCGTCGTGTGAATCGTCTGCTGCTGATTTGTGGTTGTGAGAGAGATAAACCAAGGGAAGAGGCGTTCAGGACGTTTCCAGAGTAGAGACGCCAAAAGAAGAAGTAAATTAAACATAACAATGAGAGCGAGCTGCTGCTGCTGCTGCTGCTGTATAAAAATAAAACGTGTCCTCGGCTAAAAGCTGCTGCAGATGAAATGAGCAGCTAAAGGAAGGTGACCCGGTGATTTATTTAGATTACACACCGACTCACAAACCGCTGCAGAGCTGAAGGAGATGAAGCCAAAGCAGGCTTTTACTAAAATGTGCATCATCCCACGTTTTCACTTCGACCACGTGTAGAAACTTTTAAAAATTCCTTTTATGTTGATTAAGACGTTTTCTTTTTAACTGAACCGTGAGTCTGTTGTGGCTTCCCCGTTGAAAACAGCTGCTCATAACGCTGACGGGACCGGACCAGATGGTGGATCCGAGGGTCCAGAAGCAGCGAACCAAAAGACGAGTGAAAGGCGGCGGCGATCATTAATCAGAGCCGAGCCTGGAACGCTGCTCACAGCCGCTCACCGGACCGACGACGCGACGCTGAGTCCAGGTTTCAGTTGTTTAAGGGACGAGACGCTTCCCCGTCACTGGACCAGATGTGACGCGGCGGTTCTGAAGGAAGTCAGATGGTTGAACAGCTTTTGTGTTTCCTCAGTTGAAAGGCAGGTAAAAGCTGAACAAGAGAAAAAGCTGCTGACGCGTGTTTAATGTTTGGCCTGGCAGTAAACTGCTGTGAGACACTTTGTTTTAATGGACAATATACAGTAAACGTAGTGGGATGTTTCATGTACGTCTGAGGTTAATTGTGAACCAGATAATGTCTGGTAATAATTTAATTGATGAAAAAGGTATTAGCTGATTGGAGTTGTGAACAATATTCCTGATCAGTAGTCAGAACATGATGGAGAGGTTGTTTATAACCTCCAAGACATGATGCGAGTCGAAAATTATCTAAAAAAAAATGGCTTCCTCTGGTCGCTACTGAGTTAAACAGCAAACGAACGGCATTCTTTCGTCTCGTTAATAAGTAAGAAGCTTAGCGGTTATTATATTTTTAATCTGTTTAATAATCTACGACAGTTTATTGGTTAGTGGTTCATCATTAACGTTCTCATAAATGACAGACAATGTGTCCTTGACCAGCTGCAGTACCTGATTGTTCCACCAGGTGGAGCCTCCAACTATTTAACGAGGTGGAGTTACAGCTGTCGTTAAAACAAGCGCACCTCTCCGCTGCTAACTAACGCAGTCTTGTTGATTAACTAGGTAGCATAAAAAGTCTGGTTTAGCTAGCTGCCTGAGGCTAGTGCTAAGCTAAGACGCTAACACGTTCATCCAACATCATTAAAGAGATGAAGTGAATCCTGTAAACACATTTCAGAGGCGACAGTTCATACTGACGGGTCTCCTGGACTGATAAAGTTGCTGCGACAGTATTTGTGCGCGTCTGCTCACGCTGAGCTAATGAAGCTAGCTTAATTTATATTTCAAGTTAACGTTATCTTTAAGTTATTTTATGGGGAACATTTAGTGGTTAGAAACGGTTTTATGTTGGAGAAACATCAACCAATTGTTGATCGATAACACGGCCAACCGTTGGTGAAGGAAGTGGTTTGAAATTTATGAAGATTCTCAGTCCTCCAGGTCACGTTTATTCTGGTAGTTTAATCCTAACAACTGGACTTGCTTGAGTTCCTTGAAGACGTTTCATCCAAGAGGCTTCATCAGCTCTGACTGACTAGTTGGGAGTTCCAGATATTTATATCCTTAAGGAGACATTAACACCTGAGTTTTGGAGTTTCGGCTCCTTCAAGATATCAGTATCTGGAACTCAAGCCTCTTGGATGAGTGGTGGAACGTCTTCAAGGGACTCTAGCACGTCCAGTTTCTACGATTAAACTACCAGAATCTTCACAGACGTGTCACCTTCAGAGAATCTCAGACAGAGTTAACGCTGATGCAGAGACCTCAGCAGACCAGACGGGAGAGCATCAGAATCAGGCTTCACGCTCAAACATGCTGAGCAAACACAGGATTAGAAATAAAAGCTGCGACCTTCTGCGGTTGAGCTACATAAATGTGACCATGTGAGGAAATGTGAGGATTCATGTTGAAGATGCTCCACAGTCTATAAAACATGAACTCTTTATTAGCTTAGCGTGGCTGTTAGCCGTAGTCGTGAGCATGTAGATGTAGCGATGAGATCAGGCTGCAGATCGTAGCAGAGCTGAAGGACAAACGTCTGCAAAGGAGTCGAAACTCACGAGAACCTGACAGAAGATGAGGCTTCATAGATTCATGCTGGAAGTCGAGCTTTTATCCGCAAACAAAGACGACGTGGAGACAGAAAGCCGAGAGAGACTCCGAGCCATCGATCTGCCGTTTCCTCCCGGCGGCTGAATGACCTTCGGCAGCGTGGCGAAGGCCTCCTGCTGAACAAAACGCTCCGTCGTCGTCTGACAACAGATCAACCGGTTTGTTCCTCGGCTCTGCTCCTGTCAGCGATCAGGCGGCTTCATCCTCTCTGAGCTCGTCTCCTCGTCATGCGGAGACGTTTGTTTTCTGAGTCGGCGGCACAAAGCGGCCTTTTATTGAAGCTGATGACTGAGATGGTTCCTCTGTTTGTCTCTGCTTCATTACCCTGAAAACGTGAAACCCCGTAGTTGTTATTGTTGTTGTTATTGTTGTTGTTTCCGGAGAAGACGTTCGTTTGTTTGTTTCCTGACCTTGGATGTAAACAGTTCTCTCCTTCGTCTGACGCTGTGAAGCTCCGTCATGTAGCTCAGCTGATCCACTTCTGTGACCCACATAACGTATTTGTTTGTTTGCCTGTTTCCCGCTTTGAGGAGGTTTTTTTGGCGCTCGGTGAAGTTTTTGTTCCGCCGCTGGGACCGGCGCTAAAAAACAGCAGCTGTTGAAACAGAATCTGTGGAAGCGCTCACGGCTCGTTATCCAGGTGAGACGCTGCTGGTCCGGGAGTCCGACCCGATGATGTGGCCGCACACAGAACCGGCGGCTTCAGACGGTCTGCAGCAGGACAGAAAAGGAATCCGTCATCCGGGACTGTTCACTGCAGGACTTGATGTCTGGATCGTCCTGAGCTCGGCTCGTTATTTATCGTTTGCAAATATAAGAAGTCTGTTTTAAAACTCCAGCAACTGAAGTGAAGTTAACGAGTTCTGAAGTCAGTTTAAAGCCACAGTAAATACAGTTTTATAGTATTTTGACCATTTAAACACACATATATACACGATGTACATCTCTGTCAGAGTGCAGCTCCGTGAATAAGTTTCACATTTTATTGCTTTTATTGAATCATAGTCAAGTTAAGTCTCTTTTACTAGAATTTACCAAAGAAAAGATTCTTTCATGTCAAAGTGACAGATTTCTACAAAGTGATGTCCGTTAACTCGATGCACCTTTTGTCCACCGCCGTGCTTCACAGCGGGGGATGGGGGGCCATTGATGCTCAGATCCGGTCTACAGGTTCAGCCTGTGTCCTCCCTCTGATTGAAAAGCAGCTCCTGTGGTGTTTACCGGCTGCTGGCTTCAGCATAAAGGCTTTGTTTGTTGTAAAGACCAAAATACTTGTTGTTGTTGTTGTTTATTGCCTGAAGACACATCCTGAGTGACATAAACAGCCATAAACTTAAACTGCAGCAACAACAGATTCAGACGTCTGGGGTTTCGTACGTCACAAACCTACAGAACCAATCCTGGATCTTCTTCAGGATCTGGTTTAGATTCCAACATGGACCACTGAGTTACTCCAATACAAGAACTCTGTGCAGAGTACAGCGTTTGAGCAACCTTGTGGGTGAGCTGGTGTGCTCGAGCTGCAGCGAGCGGTGGACAGATGGACGGAGAGTCTCTAGATCTGTACGTTATAGAAGAGACAACAGTGTAGAGTTGCACCGAAGAGACTGTGAGGCAACAGGGGTTGAATGTCCCGGGGCAAATCCTGGAGTTGGAGTCCAGTGTCGTACGACGGGGTGTTGGGTTTGGGTTCTGCTCCGGGTTCTTGGCTCACATCGAATATCGTTGAGGTTCTGGTTGATCCGTCTGTGAGCACAGAGCTGTTCCTACGACGTCACTAATGACGTTTATTCCAAAACATAATCACGTCCATCTTTAGTGGTGAATGATCTCTGTGTTGGTTTTAACAGAGTCTGAGAGCAGCTGCCGGTTTGTTGAAGTCGTCTCTCTGCCTTCGTTCTCGTGTCGCGGTGACTTTCAGGACAGAACCCCGGGTTTTTTTTTTCTCCTCTAAGTCTTCCCGGCGTGCAGCTACGAGGCCTGAAATCCTCCCGAGGCCTCATTATACATCAAACTCCGACATCTGGAAAAGGCCAGAGGTTGAATGAGAACACACAACCTGCACAGGTCGATGTCTGAGCAACACGAGCTCCACGTCTGAGAGGACGAGTTCAGCTGCAGCCGGACCGACGGTCAAACGTCGGGTCGTCGGTTCGATCGCTGCGGAATGAGACGGAAACTATGGATGAAACAGGAATGTGGAAATGGCACGTTTTTGGTTATTTTCTGTTTGATTCCGACCAGAAAATGCGACCGTGGGAACAGTTTTCATCGCGTCCTGCAGCCAAATGAGCAGATTAGCGACTTAGCCGATCAGTCAGAGGACGGACAATGAACGAGCAGCTGTTTGGATGATGAATAATCATTATTTGTACGTTATTGTGAAGTTTTTCTGTCATTCTGAAGAGAATAGCATCACTTTTTTTGACTGTTAATCAGACAAACCACATTCTTGATCTCTACCTCCTTATTATTGAGACTTGTTTCTTCCTTTCCTCTTTCTGAGCTGCGGCTTCGTCGTCATTTCACAGATAAAGTGTTAAAGTCGTTTTTAACGTTTCAGACGATGACGTTCTGACAACTCGTTTTGTTTCCTGCAGGACTCGTTCCAGCGATGTCGCCACGTCCTCGGGTCTGAGCCGTCCGGTCGGTGAGTGGATCAGCTTCTTCTTCATTGTCTCCACGCTGACAGCATCACATTAAGCTGCTAGTTTGTCATGTAAACATCATGAGGAGTCTTCTGGTGACCCGTTAGAGCTGCTGCTGGACATCATCAGGTCACAGCAGAGCAACGCTGGAGCACCTGGTTCATCTACACAAATAATAATAATGATTATAATAATTATAATAATCTAATGATGTCAGGACAACATGAATATATGTTCAAGTATTAGTTAAACGGCCAAAACAACTTAATAAAATGTCTGAAACTATCGATAAAATGACTCAAAAATTATGAAAGTATTAACAGGATGTTGAATTTTACTTAAAAAATAAAAATAAAATCACTAAAATGTCTGAAAATATTAATAAAATGCCAAACACATATTAAGAATATTGTTAAAATGTCACAAGATATTAATATGTCTGAAAATATTAATGAAATGTCTGAAAAAAAAATGTCCAGACAAGAAATACAGTTTCAGAAAAATATGAATATGTCACAAAAATTATAAAATGTCCAAAAATATGAATAAAAAAAATAAACATTACTTAAATGTCTGGAAATATTTATGAAATGCCCACAAATATTAAAAATATTAATAAAATGTCACAATATATTAACGAAATGTCTGAAATAATTAAAATGTCCAAACAACAAATAAGACATTTCTGAAAAATTATAA